ACGAAGAGGACTCCTCCTCCAGTGTATCAGAACACGATGGCTTCTCCCCACCGCACCGCCATGACTCCTGGCTCAGCCACCATGCGTCTCTCCTGAATGGCTGCACAGCCCTTGCTTCCTGTCCCTCCTGCTGTCCCTCCAGATGGGCAGCCCAGCCCAAGTGTCCGCTGATGGGCCTTGACGGCGCCCACCTCATGCACCCGGGGAAAGCGGGCGCCCTTGCAGTGACAGAGCAGATGTCCCAGGACCCAGCCCTCGCTGAGGCCTCTCGCCTTCTCAGCTGAAGCCCTCCCCTGTTGCCTCAGTGCTGCAGTCACTCTGGTCCCTGTTCTTCCCCAGACAAGGCAAACCTCATCCTGCTGGGAGCCTTTGGCCTCTTTTCTCCGCCTGGGTCCACTTTCCCAGGTTGTCCCTTAGCACCTTCCTTGACTCCTCGGAATTCTTTGTCCATGCAGCCTCCTCATCGCTATTTAGCAATTTCCCTCCAGCCACTTGTATTCTGTATTTCCAGCCATCTGCTTTTTTTTTTTCTTTTCTCCATAGCATTTCTGCACTTAGAGAAGACTGGATAATTTACCCAATTACTAGGTTATTATCTGTCTTTCTCCGCAAGAATATAAATTCCACAAAGATACAAAGATAGAGGTCTTTGTTTTGCTCCAATGTTTTCCCAGAACTACCTCTACATGGCACAGCCTTTATATTTCCAGTGAATGGCATTGCACTAATAAAGGTCTACGTGCTACACACCGCATATGATATGGTTAGGTTTAGTGCTTGGACAACTAAAAGTCACTGAATCCAGCACTTTCCCCGCCCTAACCATGGTGCACAAGTTGCATTTACAACACAGGCAGAAACCGTGGGAAAATGCAGTATCCAAATGTGGTCAATACAATATGCTTAGCTCAGGTTAGTTCAAAACCAACTTCAATGTGGCCAAAAAGCAAAAAAAAAAAAAAAAAAAAGAATTTGAAGCGGAGGTAGGGGGATAGTTTGGTAGGTAGGAACAAAGACCTGGCCCCTGGCGCTCTGGGCTGCCAGAAAGTAACTCATTCCAGCCTCATCTGAGGCAGGCAGCCTCTTCTCCACTTTGCAGTTCTCACAGGCCTCCTCTGCCCTCTGACTCGGGAGCAAGACCAGGCGGCCTCTATTTGGGATATTGTATTGTGTAACAATTGTTCCACAACCTGGCAGCTTCAAGGGAGCGCTTTATTTTGCTCTGTCTGGGCGAAAGGAGCACGCAGGCCTCATCTGGCAGCCCTCACTTGGGGCCTTTCGGGCTTCTGGGGTGCATGGTAGGCTGGGTCTGTGCCCTCCCTGCAGGGGGCTGTTGTCAAGCATGTGGCTGCCAGTCACCACAGCTGCTGACTGAAAACAGCTCTCCAGGCTGCCAGAGCAGCTGGGCCCGCACATGGGGCCATACCTGGCTTCCAGAGACCAGGAGGAAGTAGCATTTCCAAGCTAGCCTTGGACGCTGCAGTATTGCTCTCGTATTCTACAAGTGAGTTGCTAAAGGTGCCCACATTTAAGGACAGGGAGCAAATTCCAAGACTCCACCGGAAGAGGCCTAAAACCTGCAATAGTTAGTATCTTAAAACCACTATCACACCCATCAGTTAGGAGAGGTCTTGCTGTAAGTGTTACGATGACCAGTGTCCCTCAGTACTTGTCCTCTGTGCTTTCCTCCAGCTGCCCTCTCAACCTCTGGAAATCAGACCTTTGGTCTTAGGTGTGAAATGGCTGTACAACGATACGTTTTGAAGGTAATGCTGACAGACGGGCTGAGATTGTACCTACAAGTTCTGCCTACATTTTCTTGTTTAAAGATTTTTTTTTGTTTTGGTCATAGAAGAACTGGAGTGCAGGTCAGAGGTTGGGGGTGCACCAGAGACAGAGTGGAGAGCAGAGTAGGGAGGTCTACTGAAATACACTGCTGAGGGAAGAAGCAGGCAAGACAGGAGAGGTCTGCTGCACCGTGGGGGTCAGCTCCTTGTCTGGGGATCGAACTCCCATCTCATTGGTGATAGCGGTGAACCCACATGGGGTTTATCTGATTAAAAGCTGATATGACTCCTGCAGCAAAAACAGATCAGATGTTCATATCTGATAATAAACTACTAGAAACATCAAAGCACATGAACTCAGAAACAAAATCCCCTACTCCTTGAGCAAAGATTGGTTACATAGGCCCTCCTTGGTGGCACAGCAGGTTAAAACACAGCACTGAGAAGCTAAAGCCACTTTATCATGAGTTTGATTCACCTGGGAGGAGACCACATGGCTCAGTAGACCTCTCCTGACCCACCCGCTGCTCCCCTCAGCAGTGTACTTCGTCGATCTGCCTGTTCTGCTCCCCACTCTGTCTCTGGTAAAGCCTCTCACCGCCCTGCACCTCTGGCCTGTACCCCAGTTCTGTATGCATAAATAAATCTTTTTTTTTTTTAAAGATAGGTTGCCCAACTAAACCCAGAAAGTAAATTTGTTTGACCATGTTTTTTTTTTCCCCCTTTCTTCCTCTTTTTTAATACCGTACTGGTTTAACTCAACCAGATGTCTTTCTTATTTATAGAAGTCTCTCTCCAATTAGTTCTTCTGACCCAAGGTTATAGTTCAAGTAAGTGCACCTAGAGAACTTTCTATATATTCAGCCAAGTGTAGTGATTTCCAATGCTGAGAAGAAACACACCTCCACTGGCTTTCCTATCCATTGAATAAATGAATGAAACACAGAAAAGATTGGAGAATCACTAGTCCTGCCACTCTGCACTCACAGAAGAACGAGCTCACGCACAGACAGATGGCACCACGCACGTGCCCAGACTCATCGTGGCCTAAATAGACTGGCAATTATTAAACAAATAATTTTCCTGTTTAGGTATTTGAATTCAACAAGTTTTGCAACCACACAACTTTTGATACCATAAAACAAACGGAAACTATCTATTGCTATGGAAATATGAGGTTACCATTAGCTTGTTAAGATTTAAATCAGATTTCGATTTGGAATTCTGAGATATGAACACCATGAGGCCCCTTTGGGACTTTACTAGCTGGATTTGATTTTGGGAGTAGTGTCTAAGATTCTGAGAAGCTCTAGGGACAGATGCCTGAATTAAGGTGAGATTTAAGGAAAAGCCCCGTAGATGTATCAAAGGCTGAACCACATTACCTTAGAAAAGTGATTTGCAAATTCCTTTAAATTCATTAGCTTGCTTTGGGGATACCCCTACATGATTTGCTGTGTATGAAGTTAATCTACTCTGGATCAGAATACATTTACTAGATCTTAAAACAGAACAGCATGTGATTTGATGACTTAAAAATAGGAGCGTACTGGCCCTCCCTGGTGGCGCAGCGGGTTAAAGCACAGCACTGAGAAGCTGAAGCCACTTCCGCATGAGTTCGATTCCTGCCTGCCCCCAGAGGTGACCACATGGCGCAGCAGACCTCTCCTGACCCGCCCGCTGCTCCCCTCAGCAGTGTACTTCGTCGCTCTGCCTGTTCTGCTCCCCACTCTGTCTCTGGTGAATCCTCTCACCGCCCCTGAGCCTCTGGCCTGTACCCCAGTTCTGTATGTACAAATAAATAAATCTTTAAAAAATAAAAAGGAGAGCACTGCAGAGACAGAGCATACAGCTCACTGCCTTCACGACAGATGGGAAATGGCTGGTTTGTAGTAAGTCGGCACCGAAGCCCCTGCTGACTGCTTTACCATTCTGAGAAAACAGTGTGGACCCGGGGCCTGATGCCCCCTTGATGGTAAACTCAGGTATGGGAGAGCAGAGTCCCATACACACAGCCTTGCACACAGCCTTGCTAGTGGTGTAAAGAAATTCCCGTTCCTCTATCGTCCCCCAGAATGTCAGGTGCAGGATCTAAACTTCCTGGTTTGTATTTTGGACATTCTAAAAATGCAGAATCATCAAATGCCAACATGGACTTGCCGGAGTAACTGGCGGGCTAAGCGCCAGCCGCGACAGAAGCTGGCAAGCTGCTCCGGCTGGATCCAAGGCGCCCGCGGGCACGAGAGCCCTCAGCTCAGTGGCCTAAACAGAGACTGACTTTTCCCTAATTCAAAGTCCACAGTGGGGCCCCAGGGGTGACTGGGGTCCTCAGCAGGTGGAAATAACTGTCCTCGTCTTCCCGGCTTCAGTCGCCGAAGCGGCCCCACCGCCTCCCTCCACCACAAAGCGCTGGGGACTGCGTGGCCAGGGCAAGCCGGATGGCGGATGGCAGACTGGGACCTCTGGCTTCTCCGCAGCTGCAGACGCCCACGAGGCGCTCTGCTTTCTGAGGCCGGCAGAAGCCCGTCCAGCAGCGACCCAGGAGAGGTCTGGCGCCGCGGCACAGGCAGCGGTGAGTTTGAGTGGGGCTCACTGGGACCCTGGAGACTCACAGAGAGGCCTCCTGGGATTTTCTGAGTGGTAGGGCTAAAGGTTTTACAAATTCTTTTGACCTACCTACAAAGTCTGTCTGGATTTTGCTCTCTGTAATATAATAAATATGTTGTGGTGTTTACTAGCAAAACATCGATGAAATCAAGTGTTTTTGTTTGTTTTTGTTTTTTTAAAAACCCATAATAAACATTCTCTTACCGGTAACGCTAAGAATCTGTTCTCTAGGCCCAAACTACCTGTATTCACTCACAAACTGAACTCAGCTGTCCAGGGGGAGAACCCCGGGGCCAGGTGCACTCAGAGAGCCCGGAGGTCCCAGCAGAGCTGACCTCAAACTTCCGGTGCCAACACCCCCAGGCCTCCCACAGCACCTCCCTCACCCGCAACAGGGAGAGGTGTCTTCAAGTCAGATGGGTGGCCGCTCCCAGATTTTTATCTGGAAAATGGGGCAAATAATGCCTTGCAGAGGACTAAGCGATATAATGTCCATAAAGCACTCAGCAGCCAGAGGGGGTCAAGTCAGTGGCACTGACGACTATTGTCCTTCGTCTAGACCAAACATAACAGAAGTTAAATAAAGCAGTACAGTAACAAGCAAGGAACATTTTATTATATGCATATTCTCAAATAAAAAAAAAAACCCACAAAGTCAGAACCTACAAATAGGAGCAAAGAACAAAGGTTTCTAGCTCTCTGGGGTAGGCCAGGCACCAAATCTTATAGAAACGTGGCTAGTACAAGACAAAATGTACTAATCAACACTGCCCTGCTTCCCCATCAAAAAAGACTCTAGAGAAAGACACTGCAGTCCAATATAAATTTGTTGTACAATTAAACTTCAATGCACTCAAAGTTATTGTATAGTAAACTGCAGAAAAGAGAGTCGGCATTATTTAATAATCTGCTCACAATTAACAATTAAGCAACAGCCACTTGGATAAAGACTGCGCGTATTACTTAGTTGTTAAACCTCCGTTACAGGGAGCAGATGGTTATTATGGTTTTCTTACATTTTGGGGAGACACCAGGTCCAGTCATGGGAGTAGAAAGGAATATAATAAAGACTGATTTTAGAAAAAGCTCTCCTTGACATAAGCCACCATTTATTATACTAATTAGGCTGGTCTCAATCATCTTACAATGAAGATACCAACAGGCTGAATTCTTTGGGGGAGAAAAGCCCGACGTGTTCCGAAGCAGGGCTGTCGGCCTCTTGCAGGCGGCTGGGCAGAAGCTGGACACAGCACAGACACCAGCCAGGCCCGCAGCGCGGTCCGCCCCTCCCCGGCGGGGCTTGCTGTGTGACGATCCAACGAGCAATCGTAGAGCAAGAACCTGAAATCCCTCCATGCCCTCTGTGACATCTGAACTTCTCACTCCCAATTTGTACAAACTAGCACGAGTATTCAGGAATGGGAAAACAAGGAAGCTGAGCTTGAGGGCCTGTTGTTTTCAAAGACCCGTGTAACGAGGCACACAGTTTCTGTGAGTTACTAAAAGCCTGCCGGGCCTTCCTTGGGTGCCAGTCATGAGCTTTCAGTCAAAACTAAATTATAATTTTGCACAACTCTATCAAAAATATGAGCCCATTTGCTACCCACCATGTGCCAGAGACAGGCTGCCATGTGTGTTTTTAAAAAGAAAACTGACGATGGCTTGATAGTGGTGAGACTTTCAATATCTTCAGTTATAAGTAAAAGCCACAGTATTAGATGAAAAGATGAAATAACTGGGTACACACATGTTGTCTGAACGCAGGACCAACTGTGCGAGCCGGGGGCTACATTCACAACAGAGCCTGTGATGGGAAGGAGAGTAGAACATCATAAAAAAAGGAAAAGAAAAGAAAACGGGTGATGGGCTGGGGCTGGGGCAGGAAATGACGGAGAATCGACTTGCTGCTGTTCCAGATACCCAGTTCCAGTCCTCCAAGACCCACGGAGCTGCACGGCAGCAGCCTTCTATTCTCTGTGAAACATGGGCTGGGGGTAGAGATTAAGAATTTTCCTTCTAATTAAAAGGTGTGAAAGACACGCACCCGCTCAGTACCGTGTGTGCTCTGCTCCCGGGTGGTAAAACCCCGCATTCTACAGGGGTACAGGACGACAGCCCGGTCCACGCCCCCGGACGGCAGGAGCTGCTCGCTTTCTGGTCTCCTTTCAGGAGTTCCCGAAAGGCCAAGGGGAGCCCTGGCCCAGCTCAGCGCCCCGCCACTGGGCCGCCCTGCGCTGCTCTCCCAGGCTAGGTGACCGCCAGTGGCAGGCACTGGGCAAAGGGCCTAGGAAACATTTTTTGAAGGAAACATGTTTTTCAAGCGATGAAACAAAAATTTCAGGAACAACAAATCCCTTCGTTTTTCTTCTCAAGGCAAGTCAACCTTGAAAGCAGCTCACTGTGCAACAGAGGGGCCGCCCTCCTCCCCTGCATGGCGCTGCTGTCACTTGGTTGGGGACAGAGAGCTTGTCTAACGTCTACAGCTTGTCTAAAGCTGAAGGGCAGCTTTAGTCCCTACCTCGAATCACACAGGACAGATGTTGTCTCCTTGCGATCCCAACACTCAGCGAGGCTTTATCCATCTGAGACGCGGCTGCCAGCTAAGTCTGAATTTGTCCTTAAGCAAAGCGGGCCTCTCTCCGCTCACTTCCAGGCCCTCTGGAGCAAGCGCCAGTCCTACTGTGAGCAAATATTTGAATATGGAGGGAGAAGCTGCCCACCCCTTCCACAGCCTCCTAGCAAGTGGTCAAACGCTTATAAAACGCCATTTGGTACAGAGATTCTAACGGAGACAGAGCGGCGCTCAAGCTGGGAGTGCAGGGCAGGACCCTGTGACGGCGGCTGCTCCGGGCCCCCATTTCCCTACACGAGACCTTAGTAAGGCCAATTACAAGGACTAGCAGGCATTGTTTAAGAAGCTTTGGAGTTGTTTTCTAGGGTGTGTGTAAAATTGCCACCACGCCCAGGGCTCCTGGGCCCCACTGCCCAGGAGGAAGCGGCTGGCGGGACAGGCTGGTCACCGATCACCACCACACTGGCCGGCTGCCCGGGTGTCGTCCTGGCTGCGAGGAAGGGCCAGGCGGCCGTGCCACTCCGTGGTAACAGCACCATAAAAACGGTTTGTCCTCAGAGCACTTCTGGGGGAAGGGGGAGGGCGGGAGGGCTGCGTGAAGGGGACATTTCACAGCGCAGGTCTGGAATGAGTGGCCTGCCTGGCAGGCAACGCCACCTGCAGAGAACAGCCATCCTGGGGTGCAGAGAATCTCCACTTTCTGCCAGCACAAGGGGAGGTCTCTGGTGTCTTCGGTTCCTACTGCCCCCCTCGAGAGAGAATGAGTCCGAGTCATCCTGCCCCTAATTCCTGCTGGGCCAGAGAGCTGCTGTCTGGGGAGTGTGCTCGGCTGGGAACGGCTGTGTCCCGCGCTCTCACTCGCTCATTCGCCAGATTACTCTTTCAGCACCTTTCTCTGCTCGCTCTTCCTGAAGGCTCGCTGCAGGCACCCCATCCTCAGGGAGGTACAGGTAGTTCCACAAATGCCCCCCAAACACACCTTTACATTTGTTTTTCTTTTTAAAAATGTTGATTTGTTTAGTGGCTACTGTCCCTCCGCGAGACAGTGGTGTGGAGCTACGGGGGCGGGGGGTGGCTGCGTGGTGAGGGCTGCCGCGCCGGGAGGGTGCGGCTGGCCCGGCTCTCGGTCAGCGTGGAGAGAACCCCACTGCCAGGCTGCAGCCCACCACGGGCGTCATGTCCCAGACCTGCAGAGAGAGGAAGCCAGAGGCGGAGTCACACGGAGAACAAGCACAACCCGCAAAGGGTCAGATGATTGCCGCCCCCCCCCCCTCCTCAGGTTCTGCCAGGGAAAGGCAACGGAGCTCGCTAAAAGCTAAAACCCTACGGAGCTTTTCGGTAAAATCTCAACACCTGAAACTCACATCATAATAATTTAGGATTAAACTCAATTAAAAAATATCCCACTGGGAGAAGCCCATTTTTCTATTATGAAATGAAATGTCACAGTTCCACACCTCCAGAGTGGTGCTGAGTAGGAGCCAGCCTAGTGCTGTGGGAGCGCCCATGTGTCGCCAAGCCAGACCACTGACCGCTTGGAAGCCCTCTGCCCAGAGCAAGGGCTGGCATGGCTCAAGGCAGGCGGGAGCTGCGCCCTGGGCCAGGCTCCATTCAGACAGCTGCCGAGGGCGCCTGGCCCAGCACAGCCCTCTGGGAAAGTCAGGGAGGGAAAGGGAAAGCCGCTGGGGCCCCTCCAGGGGGTGCAACTTGAGGCTGCACCTTGCCGGCAGGTCCCCGGCCAGGGCAAGCCTGTGCTCAGCAGGCAGGCGAGACTGTGCGGGAGCCCCAGAAGCCCCCAGCCCCACGGAACACTGTAACGGGGAGGTGCTCGCGGGGCTGTGAGGGCGGTTACCTTCACCACGCGGTCGGTCCCACACGTCACCATCAGTCCCCTGGCGACATCCATGGCCATGTGGGAAATGTTATGTTTTCCTTCATGAAACGTTGCGAGGGACGTCCGACTAGCAGAGAGAAAAGAGACCACCACATTTCACCTGCTGTCCCCGACCAGGCAGCAGAAAGGCGACACAGTGACAGTGTCAGTGGCCTCTCATGAGGTGGCTGCCGCTCAAAGACCTACTAATTAAAGGGGAAGTTCGGGAAATGGCAAGACTCTTAGAGAGGATTAAAAAAAAAAATGGGAACGTCTCAAGCAGAGTCGTAGCTGCGCGCATGGAGCAGGGGGCAAAGCCTTCGCGGGCGGCCGCAGCGCTTTCCCGCACCGGCCCGGCGTCTGCTCTGCAGCCCCACAGTCCTCCCCTCTTCCCCCCCTGGCAGGGAGGTCGAGAACGCTGGGCAGCGTGGATCCTGTGCCAAGGTGTGCTATGGGCCCCTTTTCATTCTTGAAAGGGGAGATCTGGAGGACGCTGGCTCCGCCCTGATTCACCTGCCCGGCAGCTGGGAAAGAAACAGCCAGTCTCCACACAGTTACACAGGCTGCCGCGACCGGTCTTTGCGGCAGATAGAACACGGGTCGCTAGAGTCTTCACAGACGGGCATGAGTGTGAGCCCAGGCGGAGGCTCAGTGCTGCCAGCGAGCCTCACTGCTGCGTCCAGGGCCACGGGCCACTGCCTGCACCACGCCCGGGAACAGAGCTCAGAATGTCCACAGGGAGCGGGCAGGTCTCCCCTCCCTGAGTGGGAGAAGCATGCCTTAGGTGACCCAGCCCGGATAGAAACCTCAGTTTAGAAATGGCTCGCGGAGGGGGAGGGGCGAAGCGCACCCACACTCAGCCCTTCCCCCAGGACACAGTAAGACAAGGCCAGGCACACACTCACTCCTCGTCCTTGATGGAGTCGTAGCAGGAGTCGCACACCCGGACCTGGAACTCGAAGCCCATGACGGGGTAGCTGGAGCGCTTGCTGCTGCACTTCCCGCACACGGCCCGCCCGCACCTCCTGCAGTGGTGCTGGGGGCACAGGGGAGGGCACGGGGAGGGTTACTTTCTGCCTGGATGGCGGAGGGAGGGCGCAGGGGCGGGAGACTGCCTGGAAAGCCTCCCAACGCCAAAGGTGGGAGAGTTCCATGCCCTGGAAACCCTAGGACTTCCCAACGACCCACTTCGCTGGCTGAATGCCCACTTTCTTTCATCCCTTTATCTGTCTACAGGTCAGCAACATTACTACAAGAAGTTCAATTCGTACGGGAGTTCAAAGACTGGAGATAGCAGGAAGGAAAACGGCTATCAGATTAAAGTTCTAAAATCAAGTTTTCAGTGTAGTACGCCCTCATTATGAAGCAAACACCCCTGGATCAGTTTTTCTATGTCTTTTAGTCTTTCACATTGTGTTCTGGAAATAAGCTTCAGAAACATTCCAAGGAGCCCAGCTGTTATTCCAGATTTGGACATATTCTTCTATCTTTCTTCTCTCTTCAGAAGAGAAAATGCATTCCTTCGTTTCTTCAGACCCCTCCACTGGTCGCAAGGCGGCAGCCCCCCAGGCATGCAATGCGGAAAGGGCGATGCCAGGACTCGGGTGAGCACGTCACTAGTGCTAACTACTGCATCCCTGCACCTCAGATTAGACCCTGCTGTAGAGCAGCTTTGTGAGTAAGATCGAAGAAGGTTTATTAACGCACGCGAAATTAAAGCAAGTCCCTCGTAGACGTGGGACCCGTCGTAAAAGACATTAAGTCAGCATTCTTCACTTACCTGCCAGGTCACATGCCTGAGTGGCTGCCTTCAAGCTGCTGTAGAAATATATTTTTTTGCAGAACTTTAGTACGACATAAATAGCTAGCGATAAGAATATCTTTGAAAACTAGAGGCTGTTCGGAATATGTCTCTATGACTTATATATAAAAAAAAAGAATAGTACTTAAGACATGCTTCTGGGTAGCATGCTCTGGGTAGATGCTTATGGAACAATTTATGAATGATCTAAAATTCTCAGTATCACTGTATTCTGGGGGGGAGGAGGGGGGCTGCCCTGTTGCTTTTTAATTTGTTTGTGAAAGTAGAAGGCTGTTACTGTCCGCCCTCGTTCATTCTAACTTTGTGCTTTGCCAGTGTGAAGACTTCCACACAGCACAGCTCTAAATTGAAATATCTTATTCTGTTTACAAGCAGACTCTTGGGGTCCTCTGCACCCTCTTACCAGTGCAGGACAAGTGAGGTGGCTGTGAGGAGGTGGGAGTATTGCCGCCCCGAGAACGGCCTTGTCGCAGAGTCCCACCGTGACGCACAGGTGCCAGAAGTAACAGGGAGGAGCTCGGCTCCAAACCAAGGACAGATAATCACAAAGACACACAAGGAGGACCCAGCTCAGGTGTGGTGCTGGCTGCTCACCTGTCTGAGGCCCAGCGTCTTTGTGTCCCACATCTGCTTTATGTTCCAGAAAAAAGGCTGCTCGCATTTCTGACAGGAATCGCTTTCCAGCCATTGTGGAGCCTGGGGGAGAAAGTCACACCACCATCAGCTCATTTGCACTCTGCCTGATTTTCAGAGACCTAGAGCAGGCTCAGGCCCTGGTGAGGTCAGCAGTTTTCAAAAGTCCTCTGTGTTTTACAACTGTTGCTGTTCAGTACCATGTGTGTTGAGTACTAATTTTAATAGTGCTCATGAAATTGTCCGAATACTAATCTACAGCTAGGAAGCAGTGATTGGATTTTCACCGTGAACTCTTTAGAGGTGTCTTTATGGATTTTGTTAAGCCAAAGTTGTCTGAGATCTATATCTGGTTTAGTAAAAGCATTTCTCTTGCAGGTCCCTCCTGAGAAGGCTTGTGGGGTCACAAAGTGAGGTGACTGAGGTGACTGAGGTGAAAGTTCTTGGGGGGCATCGGATGGACAAACCTGCCACAGTCTTCTTTGCCAGCCCCTGGGTGGGGCCCCCTCCCTGTGGGCCAGCTGCGCCCCCGCTCCCGCCCCGAGGCGTGGCCTCTGTGCTGTTCCCCCCAACTAGCCAACGGGTGGCCGCTCCTCTGTGCATTCACCCTCACTCCTGCACAGCCCTCCCAGAGCAGGGCCTCAGCGGGTTTTGTTCAAGTCTCAAACCATCCTTATTGAGAACGGAGCGAATTCTCCAAAGTGTCCCTCCAAAGCACGAGGGGTTCAACTTGATTACCGGATCAGCCTGTCCAAAGCTTTCAATTAACCTCAATCATTTGGTAATACGCATGTGCCATAAAAAAATGATAGCAAATCTTGGTTTTCATAAAGCTAAGCCAAACAAAGATTGATGCCGTAAGCTCAGGAAGCACGTGTCTGACCAGAGCAGACGACGATGGAGGGTCACAGGAACAGAAACACGCTGAATCTCGTGGGACGCGAGTCAAGACCAAGCCCGGGAGGATTCTACCGGACTGTCCGTGGAAAGGCTGAGGGCACCTCGCTCTTTATTTGGCTTCCTATTGCATCAGAACTTTTGGCCTTCTGAGTTCGTATTTTAGATCTGTCACCAGAAGTATTTCCATGTATGACAATTACTGTTGGAAAGGCCATTCTTCCTGGTCTGGGGGGTTGGAACCCACACACAGCATGAAGGGGCTGAGATGGAAGAGAGACATCTTTAAATGAGGGAAATGTTGGAAATGAGAAGGGAGGGCAGGAAGAGTGACAAAGTTGGGGGGGAGGCAGTGGAAAGAAACTGGTTTTAGGGAGACTGCCGTGAACAAGATCCCCAAGAAAGATGGATCAGTGTGAGAGCTGGACATGAGGGAGGACAGGAGAGCGCTGCTGCGGCTTTATGTTTGGAGCAGAAGCAGCTCGGTCCTACAGCAGCCGCGTGGTGCCAAAGCCAGAGTGCCCACCTGCTCCCAGAGGCCACGTTCCAGTGTGAGCAGAACCACGTCCAAGAGCGTGCTGATGAGGTCAGGTTCACGCGCCACACGAGCTTGCGAGGGTTAAGTGAACTAAGGTTTGTGAGAGCTTTAGTAGACAGCCTCGCGTGCCAAGACTGTTCATGCCTCATTTCACTTCATCTTCATCACAACGGCAGGAGACAAGAGAAATAGTATCCTGGGTTTAAAGACCAAGAAACCATGGCCCAGAGATGGACATGACTGTCCGTGGTCAGTCAGAAGTGTGAGGTTCTGGGAGGTGTGGGAGTCCAGCCCTGGATGCCTCGGCTCTTCCCAGCCTCCATGAATGGGTCCTGTTCAGTTCAACACATGAGGGTCTCTCCCTGGGCCTGGGGTCTGAATCGAGTCCAAGCCTCGCAGAGCACAATTCTGAGAGTTCAGAAAGAATATTACTTTGCAGAGCTGGAGAGCAGAAGGGTACATGGGAGGCAAAATTGCATCAAATGATTTCAGATAAACTAAAATCAGACTATGAGGCAAGCAGGCCTCCGCGAATATACTTAAGTATAGGAAATAGCCGCAACTTTGTGCCTTTTAGTACTGAGGGTTGCGGTAAGCTAGCCGGAGCCATTTGTTATATGCTTATTCTCCAAGGAGGAACATTTTTGCCAAAGAGAACATTAACCAACTCTTCTGTTTCACTGTTTTCTACCACCTGTTCCCTCTCGGGACGGCCGGCCGGCACCAACACCACTGACCGCTGCAGTGACCCCAGTGCATCTGTGTGTTGTGCCATGCATGCTGCGATCGCGCGGATTCGGATGGCGTTCTCGTTTCCAGATCTGTTCTAATCACTGTTACTTGCTCACTTGTTCCATCTCTCCTCCCAAAGGAGCCCTCGGATTATGCACCAGCAGCTGGGCAGACTTGCCTCGAGCTGCCAGCGCAGAGGCTGACAGCCAGGCGGCTGGGAACACTGCGGTCAGCATCTCGGGGAACCCGGGAAGACAGTCAGCAAGCGCGGGACAATGCGGGGTGACTCTGTCCTGGCCAACAGAAGTCCTCCACGGTGCAAATCCCTAGTGCAGGGCGGAACCTTACAGTGCAGGGGCTGCTGACCTGAGCTGCATCTACTCAGCTGGTAAACCAAACAGAAAAGCTACTAAAGATAATGCATTCTTCAACACAATTTTCTTTTCCAGCCACACTGCCAGCCATCAAGACAGACTAGCGTAGAGAGCGAAGGGTGTCAGCAGCCAGAGTCCTGCGGCGTGGGTACACCGCCAGGACAGCTAGAGGGGACGGACAGCCGGGCAGGACAGGCCTCGACCACAGGGCTGTCTTTCCCCGAGACGTACGAACACACTCCGTGGTCCAGTGGCTTTGAAGGTAGGAACCTGCTTTTATTTTCCATTGTTTCTAAAAGGTCTGGCCAAGGCTGAGAAAAGTGATTGAAGCCCAAGTTGCTGTAACACTTAGAAGAACCGCAAGTGGCCTTTGGGTGCCTCCCTTGAGCTCGGGATGCAGAGCCTTAGGCTTTCTGCTCCTTGGAGCAAGACTGAAGCACGCAGGCAGAGAGAGCAGGAGACTGAAGAGCCTGCGGGCTGTTCTTGACACAAGTAGCTAATACATGGATGAATCTAAAACACTGGTAAGCTCAAATACACCCTTAAAAGAAAGTATCCTGCATTCTGTCACATGCCCAAATTATACATGTTTACTAACAAGTGACTCTAAGCCACACCTCAAGATGTCTGGGACATTCAAAATGAGAAATTAGGCAGGAGTTTCTCTTTGGTCACCCTTACAAGGTCACCAGTACAACTAGCAATGGGGGCCTCCCCACAGCATGGACCACCTGTGTCAGGCATCCCCTCTGCAGCTTACAAGCTCCCTGAAGGTAGGAATCTGTGGGCTGGACACCCTAGCCCACAGCACAGAGATGAGCCAAGTCGCTCTTCTCTGCAGACCGGGCCCAAGGGTACGCCTACTGGGGTGTGCTAGAAAGGCTGGACTGCCTGTCAGCAGGCAGGGAGAATCCCAGAGGCCAGTCGGGGTGCGGCTGTCTCCCGGGGTCGCCTGGCTGGCTCGGCGACTTACCTCCTCTCTGCTCACATCCATGTTCCACACTGCGATCCCGCCATCTGAGGAACAGGAGACGAGCTGCCTCGTGAGCTGGAGGTAGCACAGCGACTGCACCCGGTCACTGCAAAAAACATGGCGAGTCGTGCTGGCTCAAGACGGGTAACACAGGAGCCGTCTTCATTTAGGCCCCCAGCCCTTCCCACCCAACGCCACTGCCTATCTGGGAAGGACGGCGGGCACGAGGGGAACCTGACGTGGCATCCTGTAACCTCTCTTACAGAACAACCATTTCTATGAAGTAAACACCACCTTCAAATCAGCCGTCAAGACCTGCAGGCCTGAGACCAGATGCTGACGATGGGTGTCTGAACTGAGGGTGGGATTTCTCAGGTGTTCAGGATTTACCTACATATTTCAGAAACCACGACAAAGGAGGCGTAACGCCCTCCGCGGAAGGCGACCCATCCAATTAGGAACCAAGCGGCACGGCAGCGATCAGGGATACATGCGAGCACACACACACTCTCGCTCACTCTCTCGCACGGTGAAGACCTCTGTCCCCTTCCTGCCCCTCCGTGCCCCAGGACACAATCTCCTCCGCAGCCTGTAAAGCCGTGAGGGGAATCTCCCCCTGGCTACCTTCCATCCTGATGCTGTCTACAGGAACAGTCACCGCCTGCCCAGCAGGGAGGGGCGGGGAGGCACATTTTCACCACCAGAAGGCAGGGAGGAGCCTGAGCACGACAGTGTCACAGCTGAGGCACAAAGGCCTGTGTCGTCCGACTGCACGATACTCAACGAAATGGGTTTCAGAATTTAGAACAGGCAGGTGCCCGGGAAGCGGTACTCAGATTTGCCTTAAACATCAGCCTTCGCGATCCAAGCCCTCCCTGGGGCCGCTGACCTGCCTCAAGCAGGTAGTGCAACCACGTGACCCCTTGGAACAGAAAGGTGGGGACCTCTCTCTGGTCTGAGAAGGAAGGAAACACTGTTCCTATTTGCTACAGAACCACAGACAAACAGGAAAGCAGCCAAACGTGCACTGACTGAGCCCCAACCCACCGGCCCCTTAAACCAGGGGGCTTAGAGAACAGTATGGCAGGCCGGTGCCCCCCCGATCCCCAGCACGCACTGGTGGCCCTGGAGCAGCAGCATGCGGCCTTTGCGCCCGCCGATGTCCCACATGATGATGCTGTTGTCCGAGGCGCCCGAGAAGAGCAGCCGCTGAATCGGGTCCCACCAGAGGCAGGCGACACTACCTGGGTGGGTAGAGGGCGACAGGGGGTGCTCATGAGGCCTCCAGGAGCTCTGGTGCACAAGGCCGCCCCGCCCCACCGACTTGACCGTGAGGACGGTGAAGACACAGCTGCCCAGTGCCACACTCGAGGTCAAGCTTGCCGTGCAAGCTACTCTGACAGACTTCTGAGGCCGATTTTCCTCACGCTGCACTTAAAAAAAATATATAAAATAGCTGCATATGAAAGTCTAGTTCATAAAACATTTTTGGCAGGAAAAAAGATGGCTGTTACTATTTAATAAGAGGAGGCAGGGAGGTTGCCTGTGGTCATCCTGTGTGAGATGAAAACCAAGATTACTCCAGGTCTCCAGCAGCTTGGGGGCCTTTACCAGAGATATCCAAATCTCACAAAATTAAATGCCTTGAGGGAAAAGTTATCAGTGTACAACGAATGGTTTTAGGGAAAAAAAAAAAAAAACGCCAAATCTTCCATTTCCCACTACTAGCTAAATGTTATCAAATTTGATATCCCTGGGAAAATCTTGCTTTCTACAGATTTCTCTTTCAACAGATCTCTTCGTTGTCGCTAATTAAACAGTCAGCCATGCCAACTAATAGCATTTTGGGTGGGTATATAGAAACTCAATGAAGCCACATTCAAAAATTAAAAATAGAAACTAGCCTCTCCCAGAAACATAACAAAATTGAAAAAAAGAAGTATTCTGCAAAGTGGCCTTGGGGGTCGATTCTCTATGAGTCCTGACCGACCTCCCTGCTCCCTGCACCACCCGCCCCAAGAATCCAGGCCCCAGACACCACAGCTGGGGGCTAGTGGTCTTCTGTAGACACACTCTTCGTTTCCAGAACCTGCTCTGTCCTCAGCAACCCAGAGAGACTGACCCTCCCTCATCAGCAGACAGTGGGGTCTTCTGGGGCTGTGCCTTCCTGCCCAGATCTGCTCTGACCTAATGTTCTTTCACCTCTACAAGTTCTCTCATCTGTTGAGAGACTCAGTCTCAGCTAAAAAGACACAGCGTACACTGAGCTTGTCATAAATAAAACACTGTTTTCATAAATAACGCCATCAATTTCTTTCAACAAATCCCCCAAATCTTCCAATCCATGTGGCCTCTAGGATTCTAACTCTTTGCCCCAGAGAGTCAGCAGCAGTGTGTAAGTGCTGAGCTCGCTGACTCTCTGCAGCCTAGAAGTGACGCCAGCCACCAGGAATCTGCTTTCCTCACTGCCTACCCAGGGATGCTTCCTGAGCAGAGGCTGAACCAGCCACCATCTAACAGGTCTCACTCCACATCCTAGAAACTGCAGATTAATAACAGTAATCACAAGATAAAGAATGCTTCCAAAGTTGTTTACAAGAAAATTTAGAAAGATACCCTGAAAATCATTTAAACCAGTAAACAACACAGAAAGCACTTTTCACACAAGTATGTCAAAGATTTTGACAATATGAGACCCAAGCTGACAGACTTACCTTCACAGAGTGTTCACTCTTTGAGCTCTAAACCCCACAGCTGGGCCTCCTTGGTGGCCTAGGCATTAAGTCTCCGCTCCATCCCCAGCCAGGGAGCTGGCCCACATGGCCCAGCAGACCTCTCCTGTCTCCCGCTGCTCCCCTCAGCAGTTTATTTTGGTAAATCTGCCTGTTCTGTTCCCACTGTCTCTGGTAAAAGGTCTTACCATCAGCACCTTTGGTCTACACCCCAGTTCCTCTATGCAAAATACAATAAATCCCCCAGTTGAGAGAGCAGACTGAAATCCAACAGACTGTAAGGAGTTGCTCATTCATGAAACCACGAGCGGAGACTGAAACTTGGCTACCCCAACGAGGCGGAGACCCTGCAGGGGACACACAGCCTACCTTCGTGTCCTTTGAGGGTCGTGATAACCGAACAGGTATTCTGCTCGAGCTTCAGCAGGGTGATCTGTCCAGAGTAATCGCCAACAAAAGCATACTGAGTGTCAAAATCGTATCTGAGGAGTAGTGGTTAAGGAGACATAATGCACCCCATCTCAAAGGCAGACAACAGAAAATGTGCACTTTAAAGAGAATGAGCACAGGCCAAAAACGAATGAGAAAAGAAATACCCAAGGGAAAAATCACCCAATGTGTAAATGTTGGAGGAAAAGAAAGGGCAGGAATGACTAGGAAGATGCATTTTCATCACTCAGCAAGAATTTGTTGACTATTGTAGAAGCTGAAGCAAAAAAAAAAGAGCTGATGAACACAGACCTGAAAACAAGTTGTCTGAATCAAGTTATAACAAAGTATGAGACAGAAGAAAAGCTCACTAACAAGAAAGCAAGAAAGAACTGGAACAAAAAGGCTATCGTAAAGTGTCTCGAGAAATAATGTAATGCTACCAGCAGGTGTAGGGACACGAGCCCCTTTATTTGGGTCTACTTGATTTAGCTTTAAGTGAGGAGGGTGGCTTACTTGGAAGTCATCCAAGGCAGTTCTTCAAGGTAGCAGAAAACTGAAATATATTACCTATGGGCAACAACTTATTACTTTCTCAATCACTTTTTAGTCATAAAGTTCATAAAAAATCAGTAGTTTATACACCATTGTGTAAAATACCTTTTTAATTCTACAACACTGGCCAAAAAACCCTGCTGACTGGGTGAAAATATGTGATCACAGGCTTATGTCGTCCAGCGAGGCTAATTTCTATCACCCCATATGAAACGCCTAATTCAAATCAAACATTTGTTTCGCTAATTAGCACATAATAGGTCCGAATATTCCCCTTGTTTCACTCTGAAGTGTATGATACTATTTTAAAGAGCTTGTGCTGTGCAGCCAACTGTAGCAAACATGTTTATGTAAAGACTTTCAATGGGAAAAAAGACCTTCACTGGAAGGGATGAGGGACGTTTCCTAGCCACACCTGGCAGCCCTGCCGCCATCTCTAAGTCACCACTTTGTGGGCTTGCAGAGGCCTTGTGTGTGAAACAGACACCATGTGGTAGTATGAAAGCTCTGCAGTGGTGATTTCTTAACATTTGGGAGGTTCCTGAGGCAACTTGGGGCACAGTTAGGATGCAGACTCCTCCCCAACAACAAAAAGTTCAACGAAAAACTTCTAAAGTTTTTGTTAAGCTCTGCAGGGAGACCCACCTTTCCTTGCTCTCTTGCAGGGTCTGCAAATAACCAGTTACTGTAAGATCAACTCCCTTTTCTCCTTTACCCAATAAAAATGTGCATTTTAAAGTGTATTTTTCTTTTGCTTCAAAAAGTGAAGGAATGGGGGGGGGGGGTTTCATTACTCAGGTTTAGATTTTCCATTATTACTCTGGGAGCATGTGGGGTCTCAGTGCACAACTGAGGATCAGACTCAGACCCAAGCGCCCCTGGCAGGATACTGGAGACACGACGCCCAGGCAGGGAAGATGTGCCGGCCCAGGGGGCTCCCGCTGCGTGTGCACATCCAGGTGATGCACTTGTCGTGGCCCGTGCTGAGCACCCACTCCGTGGGCAAGCTGAAGACGATCGCAGACACCCGATTCTGATGAGCTGGGGACAGAAAGGGACAGGAAGAAGTATGTGGCCTTCAGAATCACGTCTCCTGGGGTGAGGCCTGAGGATCCCCTCTGAACCTGGATCCTCCCAGTTCCAACCCCTCCTGGCCATGCCT